CCGGGGGGGGGCTGCTGCGCGGGGAGGGCGTCGTCGGGCCCGGCCGGGGCTTTGGGGACCGGGTCCAGCGACTCGCCTCCTGGGAATTCCAGGCCAGGGGGCCGCCGGGGAGGGCCTGCGTGTCCGGTTAGGAAAGTCCCGCTCCGGTTCGGCTTCCGAGCCAACCTGGATGGATTTGGGCAGGTCGACAGAGCGGGGCGGAAAGCAGGGTTCCCTCTAAGCCGAGTGAGTCTGAGCCAGCTCACAGTTTTTTAGCTTCCGGCTCACAGATTTTTGTCTCAGCTCAGGAGGGAGGGCTCCAGAGTAAACTGATTTATACAGCAGCCAAATGGCTCGCTCACAACTTTGATGCCAGGAGCCCAGGAGCTCACAAAGCAGAATTTGTGGTCACAGGACTCCGCAGCTTAGAAGGAGCATTGGCGAGAAGGCGAGCGGTCGGGTGGCTGGCGGGGCGCGGCTCCACGTCCTCTAGGCGCCCGCCGGACCAAGAGTGGGCCAGACAGAAGCCAGCCAGTGCCAGGCGGGCCGGCCCGTCGGGGAAGGCGAGGCGAGGCAGTCGTCAGAGCGACTTAGCAGAGGGGCTTCAGGGCGAGCGCCGGAGGGGACTCCGGAGAGGGAGCGCATGAAAACCGGCGGAGAGGGGGCGCGGGCCCGGCCGTAGCAGCCACTCCGCCGTTCGCCCGCCGAAGAAGAGCCCGATTCCCTTGGCCGCTCCCCGGCGGCTCTCGGGGACTCGGGTCTGTTGGCAAAGAAGGCCGCGGGAAGAAATCCAGACGACGCCGGGCCGCCTCTGGCCTCTCCCCCGCGGCGAAAGCGCCCAGGGACCCCGAGCGGCCGGAGGGCGTCTGAAACGCGGGTCTTCTTCGGCCTTTCCGACGCACGGCGCCCGCCAGGACTCGCCTCTCCGAAGGGGGAAACCCAGCAAGACCAGCTGCGGGAAGGGGTGGGTGACAATGTTCCCCCTAAGCTGAGTTAGTGTGGGCTAGCTCACAGTTTTTTAGCCTCCGGATCACGCATTTTTGCCTTCGCTCAGGAAGGAGGGCTCCAGAGCAAACTAATTCATGCAGGAGCCAAACTGCTGGCTCACAACTTTAATGCCAGTAGGTCACAAAGAAGAGTTTCTGCTCACAAGACTCCACAGCTTAGAGGGAGCCTTGGTGTGTGTGTGTGTGGGGGAGGACCTAGGGCGGCCCGGAGCTGGGAGCCCCTTGGGATGGTCGCCGCCGGGTCGGTGTCAAAGTAACAACCCCTCCCAGACCGCCGCCGCCGCCGCCGCCGCCGCCGCCCGGCCGTTTGGGACATTCCGGGTTCTCCCCGAGCGTAGCTGGATCTCGAGTCCGGCGGCTCCGGAGAGGCCGGCAAGGTTCTGGGGGCGGCGGGGGGGGGGCAGCTTCCGACAGAGTGGGGTCTCCGCAGGACCGAGTCCTCGGAAAGGACCGCCGTCGGGCTCTCCCTCGGGGAAACGATTCCCGACCACGAACTCGCGGGAGGAGTCCCGGGGGAGGACCGGGAAGCGGTCGGATGTGTCGTGGGGATGTGACGCGGGTCGCGTGTTCTTCTGGAGACCGGTTTGGCCGGCCTGGGGGAGGGCGAGAGCCCCGCCGCCGCCGCCGCCGCTCAAAGCCCGGGAGGATGGCGGTCGTGGCGTCGGCCGGCATCCTGGGGTCTGGAGGGGTCAGATGGCGCGGGGGCCGAGTGTACCCGGGTTCAGCGCAACTCCGGGGACGGGGAGAAAGCGCGCGTTGGAGACGCGGGGAGTGGACCAGAGGGCGCCCTTTCCCTTTCCTCTCCCTGGGCCCGGGAAGTTGGTGGGGGGGGGTGTCCGTGTTTTCCGG